CTTCAGTAACTACATTTTACGAGAAATATGCAAAATTTTCTTTACTGTGTTGTAATTATAGCTTGGGTGTTCTTCCCCTCCCCCCACCTTTTTTTTTTGGTAAATCAGCAAAGCACAAATTCACCTCACAAAGTTGTAAATCACCACAGATTAAACATATAACAGTACGCATACAGTCATACATACATAAAGTAATCTCTAACCATTGCTAACAACACGTGCTTTACCATGTCCTGTTACAGGCAATGCTAAAGGATTCTTTGCTCTACCTGTTTGAAACATTATTTTGTGTTTTTCACTTCCCGCTTCCGATTCCTCCATCTCCTAGGATAAGCTTCCTTTCCCTTCAAGGCCCTCTGAGCTTTTACTCATTAGGCATTGTCACCTGAGCACCAGAGCCTGTCATCTAACTGAATGAAACCCACTGATGTTCAACTATTTTCACATCATCCAATCTGGAAATACATTCTGTGACATCTGTGATAGCACAGGAAGAATTCCATAAAAGTCAAAGCCCTTAAATAATACAAAAACAAACAAAACAAAAAAAGAAACACAGACAACAGATTTTACAAAGATGTTCCCAAACCAGTATATTGGGAAATGAGATCGCAGGGGTTCCTAAAGCACCAAGCTGACAAGCAATGAAAAACAGTTTGAACTTGGTGCACAGAATCGTGCACAGCTTCCCCGTAACTCCTTACGGAAACTTTGTATTCGGAACATTATTTTCTGGGCAAATTGCAGTTCAAATTGAGAAAATTGGGTTTCTTTGTATGCATTTTAACGTGACTGTTTATTCCCCTAGTTTTAATGTCACCTGGTTTTTGCTTTTAAAAGCAAGAAGTCTTTAACAGCACAGAAAACATTTTCCCCAGGTTTCCTTGCAAAACTCTTAACAACTAACTTAATCTAAGAGAATCAATACACTTCTTACATGAACAAAGTTAAAATCAAGCTTAAAACTGAGCTAAAGCTGTGCAAGCAACAGGTATGTATCAAAATTCACAGCCATCAGTGAAGTCAAAAATCTCTTATTATGGAAACCTACAAGAATACAATAGACCTGTGTATCTAGTCCTAGGATGGAAAACCTCACAAGGTAAAAGATACTTGTTTTTAGCTACAGAGAGAATGCATTACTTTAGCCTTTAAACATATTCTGATTTGTGAATGAAAACAATAGTACACTTACCTTGTTTCAAGTAATAAAGGAGTTGAAGACCACTTTGTAGTTAGAGATGTTGTCACAGCCTTAGAATCCCCTTTGGCAAGTGACGAGCTGAACCAGATTCCAAGGATTGCAATAAGTATTCCCATTTTATAGAGAAACACTAAAAAAGGAGGAAAAAAAAGTTGGTCTCACATTATGTCTTTTTATAAATACAGAATCTCAGAATATCCATGTATATTATGGCATATTCAAGACTCAGCGGCTAAATTTATGCAGTAAATCAATGAGATAATCCCAGTATCTTTGATTTTTAAGCCCAGGAGAAACTATGAGCACACAACAAGGGACAAGAATTTTAAGATCAAACTCCTGAGCTGTAGTCAAACCAGTTCCAGTTTCCTCTCTATTTGTTCAAGTAAACTTGTTTAGTTGCTTGGACTCTCGCATCACCTTCTGCTTGCCTTAGGAAGGGATGTCACAGACAGTTCATATTTCGGATTAGGTGGCAGACCAACCTCCTGCTTGTTTAGGACAGTTAAGGGACACTGCGCGTTTGGGCAGATCTACGAGCTGAGGTACTAACCGGTGTCGGGAGGAGGAGGAGGAGGAGGAAGGTCAAGGCTCCTGGTCAGCCCTCCCGGTTCAGCTCAGCACAGACTCACTGGGGAATAAAAGAGCAAGAATTTCTTGGGGGGCACTAAATACCCCCAGCTCTAGAAGCTGGGAAACGAACACCAGCTGATGAAGGAAGACAGACTCAAAACGATGCAACTTACTGAGAGAAATGGACCAAAAAGAGAAGAAAGATAAAAGCTGTTTCTTCTTCATCCTTCACCCTACCCTTGTTCTTGCTTGCCTGTATTTCCTCTGACCTCCTCACCACAATGCAGCTAGGTGGGATTTCCCTGCCCAACTCTTAAACGTGAATTCTTCTGCCACCTTTCTACTTCGTCCTTCAAACACTCAAACCTTTTCACTCTCCGACTAGAATATATTTACTGCACCCCCATATACACACACAGGCATGCTCTCACTTTTTAATCTTTTACTTTTCTGAATCACTCAATTGAAAAACAAAAACAAAACGAAAAACACTCAAATTCCAAGTATATCACAACTGATAAACTGCAAGGACCTAACGTGTGCCTTTCATGTTTCTTTTCAAAAACAGCCTTTGTATACATTATATATCTGTAGCTGTAGGTCTACTTTAGTAGAGATATAAGACCTCCACTACTCACTTTAAAAATTAAACTATTCTGGCTATGTTCACAAACAACCACTCACCCCTTGCTTCTTCCCTATCTCTTTATCTCTGCATCTTTTCCTTTGGAATAAAAATACAAACATGCCCTTATAAAAGATGAACAACACGCTGCGGAGCTGCTGGGCGCCTGCGGGCCGCCGCACATGTGGGCAGGGAGCGGCCGGCATCGCACGGCGTCTGCAGCGGAGCGGGGCCCAGCGGGGATCCTTGGAGCAGGACCCCGACCTCAAACGCCACAGGGACAAGACGTGCCCCTCCTGCTAGACCCGGTTAGCTGGGTTCCCGGTACAGATCACACACAGTGGCCGGGAACACGTAACGAAGCGTCGCCTGCCACTCCCTGGGATTCGATGCCCTGCGCTGACCCACGCGCCTGATGTCCCGCTCTGCGAAGGACACGGACAGAGACCTTGTTCCGGACACCATGGGCACGGGCCGGGGCGTTAGCGCGGAGCCTGCCCAGGCAGCCCCGCGCGGCAGCGCTGCCGAGGGTGCCGGGGACGGGTCAGACGATGGAAAGCTGCCCGCGAGCAGCACCCATGCGCCGAGCTGCATGTGGCCATAAAACTCCGCAAAGCGCAAGCAGTATCTTCCAGGAACATGGCAGGGAGAACAGCAGAGGTAGCACATGTAGGGTCGACAGGCAGGACTTAAGGACACCCAGCTGCACTCTGCGCAGGATGACAAATGTAAAGATATGGGTTAAGGCACTGAAGTGGCTTCCTCAAGCCTGATTTTTTAAATCCGCTCACTTCTTATTCCTTCTCCAGCAAAGGGGCCTAAGGGGCAGTTACCGGTGGAGCACACGCACCTACCTGCGGGAAGGAACAAGCCCTGCCCGGCCGCGAGCCGCAGCCTCGGGCCGGGCAGC